AATCAGAAAACAATAAAATGGCAATAACTGCATACCTATTAATAATTACTTTTAATGTTAATGGACTAAATGCTCCAATCAAAAGACATAGCATGGCTGAATTGATAAAAAAAAAAAAAACACAACTCCAGGTGTTTATTTTCATTTTGGAACATCTTAATACTGTTTTAATCTCCATTGGTATGCATAATGACATTCTAGATTCAATTATACTTGGTAACAGTATAAGAAATCTGCACCTATGAAATAACAAATCTAAAACTAAAAATCTCACTGTCACCCAGCCAGTGTGGCTCAGTGGTTGAGACTTGACCTATGATCCAGGAGGTCATGGTTCAATTCCCAGTCAGGGTACATGCCCAGCATATGGGCTCGATCCCCAGTTCGGGGCATGTAGGAGGCAGCCAAAGAATGATTCTCTCTCATCATTGATGTTTCTATCTCTCTCTCTCCCTCTCCCTTACTTTCTGAAATCAATAAAAATTTTTAAAGAAAACAATCTTATTTACAATAGCATCAAAAAGAATACCAAGGAATAAATTTAAACAAGGACAGAAAAGACTTGTCCCAGAAATCTATAAGACACTGAAGAAAGAAACTGAAAAGGTTACAAATAAATGGAAGGATATACTGTGCTCATGGACAGAAAGAATTAACATCATTAATATGCCCATACTACCCAAAGCAATCTAAAGATTCAATTAAATAAATCCCTATCTAAACAGTATTTTTCATAGAACAAGAACAAATTCTAAAATTTATATGGAACCACAAAGACCTCAAATAGCCCAAGCAATCTTAAGAAAGAACAAAATTGTAGGTATCATGCTTCCTAGTATCAAACTATACTACAAGGCTATAGTAATCAAAACAGCATAGTACTGTCATTAAAAAACAGATATATAGATCAAAGGAACAGAACAGAGAACCCAGAAATAAATCCACATCTATACTGACAATTAATCTATTACCAGGGAGGCAAGAATATACAATGAGGTAAAGACAGTCTCTCCAATAAAAAATGAACAGTTACATGCAAAAATAAAGAACTGGATAACTTTTTTACACCATATGCAAGAAAAAACTCAACAGGATTAAAAAGACTTAAATGTAAGGCCTGAGACCATGTAATTCCCAGAAGAAAACACAGGCAATAAACTCTTTGCCATTGTTTTTAGGAATATTTTTTGGATATGTCTCTTCAGGCAAGGTGCACAAAAGAAAAAATAGGACTGCATCAAACTAAAAAGGTTTTGCACAGTGAAGGAAACAATCAACAAAACCCGAAGACAACCTATTCAATGGGAGAAGATATTCACCAATGACAAATCTGATAAGGAATTAATATCCAAGATACATAAGGAGCTCATACATCTTAACACTAAAAAACAAACAACCTGATTTAAAAATGGGCAGAAGACCTGAATAGACCTCTCACTAAACAGAACATACAGATGACCAATGGACATATGAAAAGATGCTCAACACCACTAATCATCAGGGAAATACAATTTAAAACCATAATGAGATGTCACCTCACACCTTTCAGAATGGCTATCATCAATAAATCAACAAACAACAAATGTTGGCGAGGATATAGAGAAAAGAAAACCCTCATGCACTGTTGGTGGGACTGTAAATTGGCGCAGCCACTATGGAAAACAATATAGAAGTTTCTCAAAAAATTAGAAATAGAACTACAGTGGGGCCTTGACTTACGAGTGTCCCAACTAATGAGTTTTTCGAGATACGAACCAACTCTTGGCCGATTTTTTGCTTTGAGTTGCGAGCTAAAATTCGGGTTACGAGCCAGCTTCAGATACCCCACCGCTAGTTGGCGCAGCGAACTTCACAGTGAATGCCACAACATCAGCCCAGCATCACGTGTCTCACTCATTCACTTTTTGATTTGACATACGAGTAATTTGAGTTACGAGCTCCGTCACGAAACGAATTAAACTCGTAAGTCAAGGCCCCACTGTATCTTAGTCTGAAGAAACTCAAAATAATAATTTGAAAAGATATATGCACCCCTATGTATATTGCAGCATTATTTACAATAGGCAAGATATGGAAACAACCTAAGTGTCCACTGATAGACAAATGAATAAAGATGTGATCTTACCTAATAATAGACAAACATGTAAATTAACTGTCCCTCTGCTATGCTCACCAGCCAATCAGGAGAGTATGCAAATTAATCCAACAAAGATGGCGGTTAATTTGCATACATAGGGGCGAAGCAGCGGAGCGAAGACCCAAGGCTCCGTCCAGAGCCGCGAAGACCCAAGGCTCCGTCCAGAGCTGCAAAGACCGAAGGCTCCGGCTGGAGCGAAGGCCTGGGTCCCAGGTGCCGGAGGAAAACCGGTGCTGGCAGCCAGGAGAAGGGAAGGCCTATTGCACGAATCTCTTCGTGCAACGGGCCTCTAGTACATATATAAAATGAAATGTCATTCAGCCATAGAATAAATGAAATCTTGCCATTTGCAACATGGACGGACCTAGAGCAGCCGTGGGCAAACTACGGCCCGCAGGCCGGATCCGGCCCGTTTGAAATGAATAAAACTAAAAAAAAAAAAGACCGTACCCTTTTATGTAATGATGTTTACTTTGAATTTATATTAGTTCACACAAACACTCCATCCATTCTTTTGTTCCGGCCCTCCGGTCCAGTTTAAGAACCCATTGTGGCCCTCGAGTCAAAAAGTTTGCCCACCCCTGACCTAGAGGGTAGTATGCTAAGTGAAATAAGTCATACAGAAAAAGACAAATACCTTATGATTTCACTTATATGTGGAATCTAAAAATCAAAATAAATAGAAACTCATCAATACAGAAACAAATTCATAACTGTCACATGGGAGAGAGGTTGGGGGAATGGGTGAAAAAGGTGAAGGGATTAGGAATTCCCAGTTATAAAAACAATCATGGGATGTGAAGTACAGCATAAGAAATATAGTCAATAATATTGTCATAACTATGTATGGTGTCAGATGGGTACTAGGTTTATCCAGGTGATCACTCATACATTATATAAATGTCTAATAACAGGGGTGTACACCTGAAACTAATATAATATTGTATGTGAACTGTAATTGTAAAATAAAATTTTTAAATAGAAATCATAGTCATAGAGTTGTTATGAGGATGGAATTAAAGGAGATAATCCAGCACAGTGCTTTGCACTTCATAAAAATTCAATAAATATAAACTACAATTTTTATTCTAAAAAAAATGCTCTCTTTGATTTACCATTACTTCCTACTTCATTTAAATGACATAATGTGTGTGAATTGCCTAGTACTGGGCCTAGTAGTTAGTGGCATTCAAGTAAAGTGGTAGTGAAGGTGTTTGGAGTCTTTGTAAATATAGTCATCTCCTAATTGATAATACAGGTGGAAATTTTTACTTCAGAGAAGCCTTTCAGTCTTCCCTATCTCAATAAATTTAGAATATAAAATATAAATAGGCCTAGCTGGTTGCTCAGTGGTTAGAGCATCGGCCTGCAGACTGAAGGGTCTCAGGTTCGATTCCAGTCAAGGGCATGTACCTCCGGTTGCAGGTTCAATCCTGGCCCCGTCAGGGCACTTGCAGGAGGCAACCAATTGATGTGTCTCTCTCACATCAATGTTTATCGCTCTCTGTCTCTCCCCCTCCCTTTCACTCTCTCTAAAAATCAGTGGAAAAAATATCCTCGGTTGAAGAATAACAACAACTAAAAATAAAATATAATATAAACAAATATTGCATCACTGGAACTAGAAATTTCCTGGCACTTAATCATGCATACTTATTTCTTGGTTACAGCATTTATGAGTGTCTACATTCTCATATGGGGGGGAGGTGGTACGACTCTCAGAAATGTTTAGGGACTTTTTTTAAAGGTATTCAATAAACCAATAACCAAGGAACAAGAAACATTGCTCAATTATCTCACCTACAAATCCACCAGTAGATAGCTCCTGGTGATAAAAACTACTCCCTTTCCTTAAAAGCTACTTAAACAACAAAACAAAGTACCGAATTGCTTTTTTGCAGTAATAAAGCTATAAAAAGAAAGGCATATGAAAGTATAAAGGGGAGATCTCTCTAGATTGGGTTAAAGTAAACATTAGGGAGTAAAATAAAGATGCAAAGGTTTAGCTTAACCTTTAGAGGAAAGGATTTTGACAAAAAGGTCAATCAGACAAAGCTGTCATTTGTTTAATAGAGTAGTGATATTACAGTCACCAGGCAAATGTATTTAGGAACAGAAGAGTGGGGGTCCTTTTTAAAGCAGAAGATCAAGCTGAGATTCCAAGAGGTTCTTTACATCCTTCTCATTTGGATACTATTAGTGAGTTGACTTGATCAAACTAAATTTAAAAAGGCTTTAATAAAATTCTCTTTCTACTAAACCTTCATGAATGGGTTTGTCGAGCAAAAGAAAGCAAGCAGGTATCTTGCTTCCTTTCTAGTCACTGAGTTAAAATACATTCTCTACACATATTAAATCCATTTGTACATTTTCATAATGGATTACCGCAGGTATCACAGATACCTGTCAACATGCACCATTTATCTTGAATCAAGAGGATCTGGCAAAGTAATATTCACTTATGAACTAGGATAAACTTCAAATGTCTTCTTAAGTTTTAAAGTTTCTTTTTCCAATTACTTATATTTATACATATTATTTATTTTACCTCTATAATTATGTTATTATACACATGTATTTACAGAGGACATCATAATTTAAGTGCTCAATAGCCTAGAATTTTCTCCTAGCCATTTCCTCATGTATAAGCCATCTTCTGCTGTTGAGTTTCCACTGGCTTTATTCTTTTGTCTTTGTTCTTTTGAAATATACATTTGTTTCAAAGCCCAACTCAGTCAGCTTCTGGTGGGTGACATTAAGAAACGAGGGTGAGGCCAGAATGTGCTAAGACGGAGGCCAGGTTCAGAGAATGGAATTGGAAGGGAGAGCAATGCCAAGGGAAACGAAGCCATCTTTTACTCACAGCTGACACGTGCTGCAGCAGACACATGACATCAATCATGTCTGCCAGGATGAGGAGTCTGGTAACGGCAGCCAGCAGGGCACGGGCAGCTTGAACCACAGCCTCCCTTTTGGGGAGGTAGCAGGGGTCATCTGCAAATCTCTCCGCTGATACTTTCAGAGCTTCGCCTGAAAAACACAGCCCCAAGTAAGTCATGCGTGAGGTTTCAGCTATGCCTGCGTCAGCATTTACCATCCAGCCTGACCCCAAGCACATTCCATGACTAAGCATAATATTAAAATACTGTCCATTGACACTGGAACACTGTCTCATTAAATAAACAATGCAGTTTCAAACTGACATTTGTGTTTGATAAATGCTCTGTCATTTAAGAAGCAGGATACCATTTTCCTACAAGAAAATTGTGCTCAATTGACTAACAACGTCTAGTAAAATTGCTGTCAACTTCTGCATTTGCTGAATCTCATTTCTGTGAAAGCTTTCATTACTAAGGCTTCAATTGGATACAATCTTGTGTATCAGAATAAGGTAAATCTACATTGAGTTACTCTCCAATTCAATGGATGTTAGAAAGGAGCTAGCCTTTTTAAGATAAGACAGCAACCCTCTGATAAAAGTTTAACATGGGCATTTTTATCTTAAACTGTCAATATAATAAATAAATCATATCCCAAACCTAGACACAAAAATAATATTTCATAGTATATCGGGCATTTTTATCCTAAACTGTCAGTATAATAAATCATAACCCAAACCTAGACACAAAAATAATATTTCATAGTATATAAGTAGTAAATAAATCTGTCCACTATTATTACAGCTTTTCCATTAAAATGCACTTTATTATAAAAGCAATGTATACTCGTTCTTTTTGGGGGGGTCAAGGGAGAGCTGATTGAATTGTCTTTATTAAACTAGAGGCCTGATGCACAAAATTCATGCAAAGTAGGCCTTCCTTCCTCCAGCTGCCGGCACCGGCTTCCCTCTGGCTGCCAGCAGGCACCCGGGTCCTAAGCTTCCCTCCCAGCCCCAGCTTCGTCCATAAAGTTGTCCGGAAAGACATCTGGTCTAATTAGCACAATACACTTTTATTATTATAGATGGGATATCCAAGGCCATTACATTGAGGAGGGGTAGGGGCAGGGAGGGAACAGGGCTACTTGCTGCTCACACTATATACAGATGCAAGCAAGAGGGTGTGGGGGGCGAGAGCTCCCTGCTTCCTCCCTCCACCAGGGAAGGGCAGAAGCTAGAAGAGATCAGGGTTGGAAAGGGGGAGATGTTTAGGGATAGAGGAATCATTAATTTGCTTCCAGAAAATGAGGAAATGGTCCCTGCCCCTGGAGTTCATTCATTTTTAAAAGTGCACAATTCAGCCCTGGCCAGTGTGGCTCAGTTGGTTAAAGCATCATCCCATACACCAAAAGGTGATGGTTTTGATTTCAGGTCAGGGCACATACCCAGGTCAAAGGTTGGATCCCCGGTTGGGGCACATGCAGAAGGCAACTGTTTATCTCTCATATTGATGTTTCTCTCTCTCCCTTCCTCTCTCTGAAATCAATAAAATATACTTTTAATTCAAAAATCAACAACGTAATTGCTTCAGAACTACCACATCCAGTGTTTAAGTTTTTCAATTTAAGCTTATTTGTGTTATAAAAGCAATATGTGCTCGTTGGTTTTAAATTATTCACCATACTTAAGAGTACAGAGTGAACATTTTTTTCAATCTCCATACGAATCCCCCAAAACACCCATTAAGTTCTTGTATACCTGTCCAGAAATGTTTCCATATTTTGTGTGTGTGCATATGTGTGTAGATATGTGTATTTATATGTATATATTTATATTTGTTTTACATGTGTATATTTTATTCATATATTCATATATTCAAACACATTAATATATATGAATATATTTTAGAGAGATTTTATGTCACAAGAAAACATAGATATTTGTTATAAATGGACCATATAGAAGATAGAGACAGAGATTCTTTACATAAATGGTATACTATAAAAACTTTCAACAATTTCCTCATGTTCCTTACCAAATTATTTTCTTTTCACATTAGAATACAGATGACCAGGAGCCATACAGCACAGTAATTAACAGTGTGGGCTGTGAAGCCATTCTGCTTGTGTCTCTGTCCTACCACCTTGGACAAGTCACTTAACCTCTGTAAATGAAGCTAATAATAATAATAATACCTACAATTTAATGAGCATAAGAGCAGTGCTTAGCACTTAGTGAAGACTGATTAGTTGGTATTATCATTCTTATTAATACTTGACTAAGGTCACATTTTAGTGATATACTTATTTTACTGGGCACACAATCATTTCCAACTTTTTTCTGCTTAAACAATGCTACAACAACAACCATGAGCCCTAGCCAGTTTGGCTCAGTGGATAAAGTGTCAGCCTGCAGACCAAAGGGTCCGGGGTTCGATTCTGGTCAAGGGCACATACCTTGGTTGCAGGCTCCTCCCTGGTCAGGGCTCATGTAGGAGGCAACCAATTAATGTGTTTCTCTTACATTGATGTTTCTCTCTCCCACTCTCCCTAAAAATCAATGGAAAAATATCCTTGGGTGAGGATTGACAACAGCAACAACAAAAAAGAACCACCATGACATATATCTTTGCATATATGATCAAATTTAGCTGTAGGATAAATTCATAAAAGTAGAATTGCTGAGTCAAAAAGCAAATGAGTTTTAAGTCTCCAAAATACAGCCATCTCACCAACAACATATGAAAGGGCCTATTTTATTCACAGTACTCCATGAATGTATTAGTTTTCACTTATTCGTGAACTTTAGCATAAAGAAAATGGAATAAATAATTTTTATTAAATATAACAAAGAATGGTGTTCCTCATAATGGAAAAAGCCTATGAAGAGGGTCTGAGGCGACCTCAGCATGTTAACATATCACATTCAGCTCTCCTAAGCAACTCCATGTAAGGAACTCAGGCTCCTGAACCAGATACTTCTGAGATGAGATCCTACTCCACCACTTCTAGTTTTGAAACTTGGACATTTATTACTTGTAGTATTCTTACCTATAAGAAAAGGATAAAATATTACTTATATATATTTCATAATATATATTTAGCACAATAGGTGAACATGGAAAGCACTCAAGTATTAGCTGTTATTTTCTCAGGAAATTTCTAGTAGAGATGACAAAATTTCAAGACCAGTAAACGGTGATTTTTATGTCTTTTTCTGAAAGTCAGAATTGCAGCTAAGAGACTGAAAAATTAAAGTGACCTCCAAAATTTAGAGAGCAAATGATTCTGCACAAAAAGTTTATCTTTTCTTGTCATGATTTTGAATTGGAAAGTTATGATAGCCTGTGTAGAATATTGTCTTTGACTTCATATACTAAAGCTAAATATATATCAAAAAAGAATTGTGTTCTTGACTAACAAGTTGAGATGTTGAACAACTGGCACAAGAGTCATACTCAGAGAAAGATTATTTAAACACTGAACAATAATTACAGTCTTTGTCTCCATTAGGTAATATGAACAGCCAAACAAGTAGCACTATTGGGAGAAACCGTCACTCCTGAAATAAAGATTCAGTACCTAAACGTCCTATTACTGGTCTCACTACCCTCCCTCCCCCACAATTTTCCCAACCCTTTTCGGATGATTCCAGGTCATATCTGGTCCCAATGTAAACATCACTTCTTCTGGGAAGCCTTCGATCCCCATTGCTAAGGCAGATCCTACAGTAGGATTCTTTGCTTCCTATCACAATCCTCATTATCATTTATTGTAATGATTTGTATCAAAGCCTGTTTTTCTTCTGAATTATATGACTAATGAAAGCAAAAGCTGCATTGGTTCTGGTCACCACAGTATTCCCATGGTCTAAAATAGTGCCTACTCTATTGCCTACATATAATATATTCGATGTGTAAATAAATGTGTTGCTTAATAAATATGTGAATGAACATATCCAACTTCCCTTTGACAAACATTTGTTGTTCCCTATAAACACAACTCCATCACAGGCATCCAGGATATACAGGTCAATAGGAAGTAATTTTGCAGCCCAAGTTCACAAATGAGAGTCAGCAAACGCTGTGACACAGTCTAAGCTGGGCTCACGTACAAAGTATAAGAGGCACAGAGAGGAACTTCCCACTGCCTGACGTGTCTGAGGACACACAGAGGAATGTTCTAGGTAAGAGCAACATGCTCCAGCTATTGACAAAATTCACTAGTTTATAAAATTTAGCTAGTTCACAGTCTAATTGACTTGTGTCAGCATACAATGGCTATTTTCCTAATTAACTAGGGGGAAAGGGGTGCAACAAATTTTCTTTCAATCTAGAATATTAGCATTTATGCTTTATAAATTCTACACATAGGGAGTCTATTATTTTGAAATATCATTCCCATCTTTCTTATAATGCTATTACTTTGACATTTAATGAATAGGAAATTTCACTTTTAAAGTATATACAAATAAACTACACTTACCTTCAAGAAATCCCACTCTCTATATAAAAGCAATTTACTGAAGTCCTTGAAAATACCACAAGAACAAGATTCAGAAAGTTTCCTTCTACTGGATTCATTCTGTCCCTTTTCTATCAAATATGATCTTTTTAATCTTCAAAAAATTAGGTATGGCCCTGGCTTGTTTGGCTCAGTGGATAGAGCATCAGCCTGAAGGATCCTGGGTTCAATTCCGGTCAAGGGCACATGCTCAGGTTTCAGGCTTGATCCTCAGTGGGGGGTGTGCAGGAGGCAGCCAATCAATGATTATCTCTCATCATTGATGTTTCTATCTCTCTCTCCCTCTCTCTTCCTCTCTCTGAAATCAATTTTATAAAGAAGAAAAAATCCTCACCTGAGAATATGTTAAAAAAAAAAAATTAAGTATGAAATGCCCTCTTGAATAAAGTATTAAGATATATATTCTACAAAGATTTATATAAGTACATCTTGTACATATGAGTAATACATGAAAACTTATGAATACATAAAAATTTTATATATAAAAACTTATATGATCATATGAATAAACTCTAGAAGTAAAAAAATAAAAGGAAAACTTAGGGCCAAATAGACACATCACAAAATATTATCAACAATAATAAAAGCATAATATGCTAATTAGACCGGACAGCCGGATGACCTTCCAG